TTGACATCTATATATAGTTTTTTCCTTTTTTCCCTACAGATGTATATATTCATTTGAAAGTCAGAGTTACAACGACAGAGAGGGAGACACACACACACAGAGAGAGAGAGAGAGAGAGAGAGAGAGAGAGAGAGAATCTGCTGGTTCACTCCCTCAGATAATTGTGAAGGCCAGGGCTGAGCTAGGCTGGAGCCAGGAGCCAGGAGCTTCTTCTGGGTCTCCCACATGGATGCAGGGCACAAACACTTGTGCCATCCTCTGCTGCTTTTTGAAGGCCATAGGAGCTAGACTGGAAGTAGAGCAGAGAGGACACAAACTGGCACCCATATGGGATGCCAGGGTAGCAGGCAGCGGCTTTACCTGCCACACCAAAAAGCTGGGCCGTATACATTTTTCATAGTAAGCATTTTTCAAGAACTTTGTGAAAACCCCGAATATGCATGAATTTTAATTTTTTTTGTAGCAAGATAAACCTTTTAATTCCATTTTCCACCCACATTTTGAAATATGTATCCTATGGTTTCATTTGTATTAAATGTCCAGAATAAACATATCAACAGAGATAGAAAGTAGATTAATAATTGCCAAGTACTGGTAGGAGAAGGATATGGGGAGGTATATAACCACTAGTGAGTATGAGTTTTGGGGGATGATGAAAATGATGTGCAATTAGATTACAGTCATGGTTATGTGAATATATTAAAAACTACTGGGGGAAGGCCTGCAGTTAAGATTCCACTTGGAGGGCTGCCATCATGGTATAGCAGATGAAGCTGCTGCCTGCATCGCCAGCATCCCATATGGGAGCCAGTTTGAGTCCCAGCTGCTCCACTTCCAATCCAGCTCCCTGCCAATGCACCTGGGAAAGCAGTGGAGGATGGCCCAAGTGCTTGGGCCCCTGCAGCCACATGGGAGACCCAAAGGAAACTCTTGGCTGCTCCATTGCTGGCATTTGGGGAGTGAACCAGCAGATGGAAGATCTCCCTCTCCCTCTCCCTCTCCCTCCCCGACTCCCTCTCCCTCTCCCTCTCCCTCTCCCCTCCCTCCTCCCCATCCCCCTCCCCCCCCAACTCTGCCTTTCAAATAAATAAAATGAATCTTAAAAAAAAAAAAAAAAAGACCACTTGGAATGCCTCATCCCATGTTGGAGTGCCTGGGTTTGGGTTGGGGCCCCGGCTCTGCTGGTGACTGCAGCTCCCTGGCAGGCAGCAGGTGGTCACTCAGATACTTGCATCTTTATCATTCACGTGTGAGACCCTGACTCATCACCCGGCTCCTGCTTTGACCTGGCCCAGCCCCAGTTATTGCAAGCACTGGTTCGCTCAGCAGTGCTGCCACTTGCAACGTGGACAATCCCATATCAGAGTTTAAGTCCCAGCTGCTCCACTTCCAATGCAGCTCCCTGCTAATGCACTTGGGAAGGCAGCAGACGATGGCCCAAGCACCTGGACTCCTGCCACCCCAGACGGAGACCCACATAGAGTGCTAGGATCTTGGCTTTGGCCTGGCCCAGCCCTTGCTGTTGCAGCCATTTGGGGAGCAAACCAGCAGATGGAAAATATTTTTTTCTCTCTGTCTCTCCCTCTGTCTCTGTCACTCTGCCTTTCAAATAAATGAATATTTTTTAAAATATTTACATTTGTTATGGTCATTTAAAGAAAAAAATACCCCCACAATATTGGATTTTTCACATCCAGTTTAGCATTATTCCTAACATCAGCAAAATACTTCCTAGAAATATTTACCTAGAAAGATTTTATCTAGATGTAGATATTTTAAATGTCACTTTTACATATGATATGCATGCAAATTAACCAACATTCCTTAAATGTTGTAGTGCCACTTCTGGTATATCTTCATAAATGTCAATTACTGAAAATAAGTTATCACATTGACTTCTTTATTTTAATTTGTTTGATTGCCATCCGGCCTCAAATATTTTTTAAAGATTGATTTATTTATTTGAAAGGCAGAGATACAGAGGCAGAGAGAGAGAGAGAGAGAGAGAGGTCTTCCATCCACTGGTTCACTCCCCAATTGGCTGCAATGGCCAGAGCTGTGTCAATCCAAAGCCAGGAGCCAGGAGCTTCTTTCACATCCCCCACGTGGGTGCAGGGACCCAAGGACATTCCATGTGAGATGCCTGCACCGCAGGCCGGGGCTTTTAACCCACTGCGCCCAGCACCGGCCCCTTTCGCTTTGCCTTTATGACATGATCTGTGCCCTCTACCCGCCAGCTTAGTTGCTGTTGCAGATAACTAGGGAAATATGTGGAATCCCTTTTTTAAAAAAGTTATTTTATGTGTTTGAAAGAGAGAGGGAGAGATTGAAAGACCGTCCATCCACCGATTGATTGCCCCAGATGGATGCCATGGCTGTGGTTAGGCCAGGCCAGGAGCCCAGAACTCCATCTGGGTCTCCCACACGAATGACAGGGACTCAAGTACCTGGGCCATCCTCCACTGTCTTCCCGGGTATGTTCCCAGGGAGCTGGATCAGAAGTAGAGCAGAGGTCTCTTGCTCTCTCTCTCCTGATCCCTCTCTCTTACTCTCTTGCCCTCCCCCTCATCCCCCAGCCTGTTGGACTTCCCCCACCCAATAATAAACCTTTCCCTTAAAAAAAAAAAAAGTGGAACAGAAAGACTCTGAAATGGGGTGCCAGTGTCGCAGACAGGGGCTCAAACCACTGCACCACAGTGCCGGCCCCATTGTGTGGCATACTTTCCGATGACAACTCCCACACCCTGCATCCTGCTGCATACCTGTAGACTTTTCCAGACGCTATCCTAGACCCTTGACATATGTTGTCTTTAATCTTCACAACCGCCATGATAGGGAGGGAAAATATTTAACTAATTGCCTGTGGCTAGCATCTCCCTGGTCTCACTGAATTCCGAGTACTTTCTTGTTCTGTAAACTCTCTTCACTCACTGGAATGTGTTTTCACAGCAATGAAATTTTGAAAAAGACATGGCAGTATGTTTTGAGAGAGAACAGATAAGCCTTGATTCATTGTTATAATTTCACAAAACGTTTTAGATGTGGGGAAAATCCATCTTAGATACGAAGATACTTCAAAAAGCTCATGGAAAATGGAATTAAAAGAATAATTTTTGGTGCAAAAATATTTTGGAATCTACGCTTATAAGAAGTCTTCCAAAGGTTCAGGGAAAACACGTAGTATGAAAAAAATAGATTTCAGATTTTTTTGCACCAAAATAAACTTTAATTCCCCTTTCCATGAATTTTTGAAGTTTGGTCATCCATACTGGACTACAAATTTAGTTTAAAAGTGCTAGGTCTAGGCCGGTGCCGCGGCTCACTAGGCTAATCCTCCACCTGCGGTGCCGGCACCCTGGGTTCTAATCCTGGTCGAGGCGCCGGATTCTGTCCCAGTTACCCCTCTTCCAGTCCAGCTCTCTGCTGTGGCCTAGGAGTGCAGTGGAGGATGGCCCAAGTGCTTGGGCCCTGCACCTGCATGGGAGATCAGGAGGAAGCACCTGGCTCCTGGCTTCGGATCAGCGCGGTGTGCTGATCGCAGCAGCCATTGGAGGGTGAACCAACGGAAAAGGAAGACCTTTCTGTCTCTCTCTCTCACTGTCCACTCTGCCTGTCAAAAAATAAAAATTAAAAAAAAGTGCTAGGTCTTCAGACTCATACAGTCTCTGCAACCAAGAAATAGAGTGTCTCTAAACAATGCAATTTTTCTCCATAACAAAATGTTCCTGAATGATTTTGGTTATGACACCAGTAATCTCAGGGCCAGCATCGTGGTGCAGCAGGTTGAGCCGTTGCCTGTGACGACAGCATGCCATATCAGAGCACCAGTTGGCGTCCTGGCTGCTTCCCCTCCGATCCAGTATCCTGCTGACGCATCTTGGGAAGGCAGCAGATGCTGGCCAACGTGGGTCCCTGCTACCCACGTGGGAGACCTGGATGGAGTTTCTGGCTCCTGGCTTTGGCCTGGAATAGGCCTGGCGGGTTCACTCCCCAGCTGGCCACAACAGCCAGAGCTCAGCTGATCTGAAGCCAGGAGCCAGGAGCTCCCACATGGGTGCAGAGGCCCAGGCACTTGGACCATCTTCTACTGCTTTCTCAGGCCATAGCAGAGAGCTGGATCAGAAGTGGAGCAGCCGGGACTAGAACCAGCGCCCATATGGGATGCTGGCGCTGCAGGCCGGGGCTTTAACCTGCTGTGCCACAGCGCCACCCCAAGCAGGGAGCCTTTACATGCAGCCCAGAGCAGATAAGCCTCTTCCCTGAGCTGCACAGCCCCTCCGGCCCTTCCAGTCCTCTTCGGTCTCTTCCTCCTGCAGCCTTCGCTCGTCTTTTGTGTTGTTCCCTCCCACAGGCCACCACTCCTGCTTCTCTTCATAGCTTTAGGAAACTTTATTTTCCTCAAGATATATGCATAGACTTCAAAAAGTTCATGGAAAGTGGAATTTAAAAAATAAGCCTATTTTGGCACAAGAAATGTACTGTCCGTGCATAACTTTATTTTTTATTTTTTGACAGGCAGAGTGGACAGTGAGAGAGAGAGACAGAGAGAGAAAGGTCTTCCTTTGCCGTTGGTTCACCCTCCAATGGCCGCCGCTGCAGCCGGCGCACCGCGCTGATCCGATGGCAGGAGCCAGGAGCCAGGTGCTTTTCCTGGTCTCCCATGGGGTGCAGGGCCCAAGCACCTGGGCCATCCTCCACTGCACTCCCTGGCCACAGCAGAGAGCTGGCCTGGAAGAGGGGCAACCGGGACAGAATCCGGCACCCCGACCGGGACTAGAACCCGGTGTGCCGGCGCCGCAAGGTGGAGGATTAGCCTAGTGAGCCGCGGCGCCGGCCTCTAGAATGTTTTTCAACGGAGCATACCCTCAGGAGTAGATTTGAAAGGCTTCCTTGTATTGTATCATAATGAACAGCTTACCTAGCCGTAATGACTTCTTTTCATGAAGTTTTTTGATACCCACATTGTAAATGATTTTAAGTAACTTTCTCTGTCTCACTAGCTAAGGAATCTTCAAAACAAACTCTTCGTGAAAGAAACTTCATTGCGGGAGATGCAGAGCGAGCTGGAGAGTTACAGAGAACACAACGCGCAGCAGACGTTCCAGATAATGTCCCTGAAGGAGGACATCAAGGACCTGCAGGAACTCATTGCTTCTCTATCCAGAATTAAGTCTTTGAAGAACACCAATATTCAGAGCCTTGAGAGAGGCAACTGGGACCTGACTGAACGCATTATAGGACTGGAAAACTCTCTAAGGTGGGCGATTGTCTGCCTTGCTCTCACACATCTCTTTTCTCAGAAGTTTGCAAGTAATACTTCAGCTCTAATGGGTCACAGAGTTTATTTTTTAAAGATTTATTTATTTATTTGAAAGAGTCACACACAGAGAGAGAAGGAGAGGCAGAGAGAGAGAGAGAGAGAGAGAGAGTCTTCCATCCGCTGGTTCACTCCCCAGTTGGCCACATCTGCCAGAGCTGTGCCGATCCAAAGCCAGGAGCCAGGAGCTTCTTTTGGGTCTCCCACACAGGTTCAGGAACCCAAGCACTTGGGCCATCTTCCACTGCTTTCCCAGGCCATAGCAGAGAGCTGGATTGGAAGTGGAGCAGCCAGGTCTCGAACCGGCGTCCATATGGGATGCTGGCACTGCAGGCGGCAGCCAGCAATTTCTCTCTCATGGTTCTGAAATCCAGAAGTCTAGGCACCAGCTGATCTGCTTCTGGTGAGGGCCCATCTCCTGCTTCATAGCTGTCGCTTTTCTTGATTCATATAATTGTATTTTAAAGGCTACAGACAGAGACATAGAGATAGAGATAGAGAGAGAGAGAGAGAGAGAGAGAGAGAGAAATCTGCTGGTCCAGTCCCCAGATAGCTGAAACAGCCAGGGCTGGGCCAGGCCGAAGGCAGGAGGGAACTCCATCAGGGTCTCCCACGTGAATGACAGGGCCCAGGCACTGGGGTCATCTTCTGCTGCCTTCCCAGGCACATTAGCAGGCAGCTGGATGGAAAGCAGAGCAGCTGTGTTTTGTTTGTTTTTAAGATTTATTTATTTGAAAGAATTACACAGAGAGAGAAGGAGAGACAGAGAGAGGTAGAGAGAGAGAGAGGTCTTTCATCCACTGGTTCACTCCCCAATTGGCTGCAACGGCCAGAGCTGTGTCAATCCTAAGCCAGGAGCCAGGAGCTTCTTCTGGGTCTCCCATGCAGGTGCAGGGACCCAAGCACTTGGTCCATCTTTTGCTTTCTCAGGCCGGATCAGAAGTGGAGCAGCCAGGACTCGAACTGGCACCTATATGGGAGGCCAGCACTGCAGGTGGTGGCTTTACCTGCTACGCCACAGTGCCAGCCCCGCAGCTGGGTTTTGAATTGGAGCTTCAATACCATCCCTTCTTTAATTTTTTTTTTGTCTTTTTTTTTTTTTTGAAAGTCAGAGTTACAGGGTGGGGAGGATGGGGGTCTTCCATCCGCTGGTTCACTCCCCAATTGGCTGCAACAGCCGGAGCTGCGCCAATCTGAAGCCAGGAGCCAGGAGCTTCCTCCTGGCCTCCCATGCAGGTACGGGGGCCCAAGGACTCAGGCCATCCTCCACTGCCTTCCCAGGCCATAGCAGAGAGCTGGATCAGAAGTGGAGCAGCCGGGTCTCGAACCGGCGCCCAAATGGGATGCCGGCACTGCAGGCCAGGGCGTCATCCCACTGCGCCACAGTGCCGGCCCCTCTTTAATTTATTTTAACAAAGAATGTTTTATAGTTTTCAGTGTACATATCTTACATTTCTTTTGTTAAACATATTTCTAAGTATTTTGTTCTTATTTATGCATTATGGATCAAAGTATTTCCTCAATTCCATTTTGAATTGTTCATTTTTAGGGAGTAGAAATATTTCTCTTCCTTATAGCTCTGTCAACTTTTCCTTTAGATATTTTGAAGCCATTTGCATTCTGATATCTTTCCTTTGAATTACTGCTTTTCTTATTATAAAGCACTCTTCTTTATCTTCTATACTTCTTGCTATAGTCTACTTTGACTTCCACAATATAGCTACACCAGGTCTCCTTTGGTTCATGTTTGCATGGTATATCTTCTTAAATTTTTAACTCACATCTTTGTGTTCTCACACTTAAAGTGTGTCTCCTGAAAATGCTTGGCATAGTATTTTTTTTTAAATCTAAGCTGATACTCCCATGTTTCAGTGGAATCTTTGTGTCGTTCCTCTCTAAGTAACTAGTGAAAGTGTTGAAGTCTGTCATAGTGTTATTTATTGCTTTCCCCATCTGTCTTCAGTTTATTTATTAATCCTTTAGCACTCCATGCTGAATTAATAAAATTCTTTTTTTTAAGAATTATTTTATTTATTTGAAAGACAGAGTTACAGAGAGAGGTAGAGCCAGAGAGAGATCTTCCATCCACTGGTTCACTCCCCAGATGGCCACAATGGCCAGAGCAGATCTGATCCAGAGCCAGGAGCCAGGAGCTTCTTCCGGGTCTGCCACGCGGGTGCAGGGGCGGAAGAGAGAGAGAGAGAGAGAGAGAGAGAGAGAGAGAGAGAGAGGTGTCTTCCATCTGCTGGTTCACTCCCCAGATAGTGGCAACAGCTGGAGCTACACCCATCCAAAGCAAGGAGCCAGGAGCTTATTCCAGGTCTCCCATGTAGGTGCAGGGGTGCAAGGACTTGGCCAATCTTCCACTGCTTTCCCAGGCCACAGCAGAGAGCTGGATCGGAAGTGGAGCAGCTGGGACTAGAACCGGCGCCCATATGGGATGCCAGCATGGCAGGCTGGGCCTTAACCCACTGTGCCACAGTGCCAACCCCAGTGAAGTTCTTATTTCATTTTTCTCCTGTATTAACTTTTTAAGGTCTTTTCAATTATCATTTAATTTTTGTCCTTGATTTTGTGATTACAAAATGCATATTGGGGGCCAGAGCTGTGGCTCTCTCTTTCTCTCCCTCTCTCTCTCTGTAACTCTGCCTTTAAAAAAAAAAAGATTTATTTTATTTATTTGAAAGACAGAGTTACAGAAAGAGGTAGAGACAGAGAGAGAGGTCTTCCATTCACTGGTTTACTCCCCAGATGGCCGAAACAGCCAGAGCTGAGCCAATCTGAAGCCAGGAGCCAGGAGCTTCTTCCGGGTCTCCCATGCGGGTACGGGGGCCCAAGCACTTGGGCCATCCTCCACTGCCTTCCCAGGCCACAGCAGAGAGCTGGACTGGAATAGGAGCAGCCGGGACTCGAACCAGTGCCCACATGGGATGCCGGCGCTTTAGGTCAGGGCTTTAACCCGCCGCACCACAGCGCCAGCCCCAAGTCTGCCTTTCAAATAAATAAATAAATCTAAAAACTGTGCAGTGGGTTTACTGCATTCCAGTTTAGCATTGTAAAAAAAAGATTTATTTTATTTATTTGAAAGGCAGAGTTACAGAGAGAGACAAGGGAGACAGAGAGAGAAATCTTCCATCCACTGTTTTACTCCCCAAATGGCCACAACAACCAGGGCTGAGCCAGGCCAAAGATAGGAGCCAGGAGCTTTTTCCAGGTCTCCCATGGGGATGCAGGGGCCGACATACTTGGGCCACCCTCTGCTGCTTTCCCAGGTGCATTAGCAGGGAGCTGGATTGGAAGTGGAGCAGCCGGGACCTGAACCGGTGCCCATATGGTATGCCAGCACTTCAGGCTGTGGTTTAACTCTCTGTGCCAAGCGCTAGCCCCAGATTAACATTTTTATGTTATCTCCCGTGTAAAAAACTTATGACAGTTTAATTCCATTTACCTATCTCTTGCACTTGTAATATTGTTATAGTTTACTTTTCCATACATTATGAATTCTAAGATATATTATCATTATTTTATTGATTACCAAATTGTAATTTCTCCTTGTCCACTAATCCTCTGCATACTGTCTTACAGCTCTCTGCAGCCACCAGAGAATTTCTTTCACATTGAAAATTTTCTGGTGTGTTTTTTACAATACAATTATTTTTAAAAGACTTTTTAAAAATTTGAGAGAGGAGCTGGCACTGTGGTGTATCGGGTAAAGCTGTCACCTGCAGTGCCGGCATCCCATATGGGCGCCGGTTAGAGTTCTGGATGGTCCACTTCCAATCCAGCTCTCTGCTATGGCCTGGGAAAGCAGTAGATGATGGCCCAAGTTCTTGGGCTCCTGCACCCCCGTGGGAGACCCAGAAGAAGCTCCTGGCTCCTGACTTCGGACCAGCATAGCTGCGGCTGTTGCAGTCATCTAGGGAGTGAACCAGTAAATGGAAGATCTCTCTCTCTCTTTCTCTCTCTCTGCCTCTGCCTCTCTGTAACTCTGACTTTCAAATAAATAAATAAATAAATATTTTTTAAAAATTTAATAGGCAGAGTTACACAGAGAAGGAGAGACGAGAGAGAGAGAGAGAGAGAGGGAAAGAGAGATCAATTTTCTATCTGATAGTTCACTTCCCAAATGGCAGCTGGGGCAGACTGAAGCCAGGAAACAGGAGCCTCTTCTGGGCCTCCCATGCAGGTGCAGGGGCCCAAGGACTTGGGCCATCTTCTATTGCTCTCCCACGCCATCAGCAGGGAGCTGGGTCAGAGTGGAGCAGCCAGGACATAAACTGGTGCTCATATGGGATGTCAGTGTCCCAAGTGGCAGCTTCACCCACTGTGCTTTAATTCTGACCGAAGTACAATTCTTCTGACAATGTATTTTTCCATATTTTCCCCCCTTCTGTGACCACGTTTACTTTCACAGTAATTTCACAGTATTTTTCCTTTCAGCACTTCAAGTTGTCATTCACTTATTTTCTGATTGTTATGGTTTTTGTTGAAAAGTAAGCCATCAGTCTTAAAGTTATAAAGTTGAAGTGGTGTATGTTTTTTCTCCAGCTGTTTTTTTAAAATATTTTTATTTATTTATTTGACAGGCAGAGTTACAGGCAGTGAGAGAGAGAGAGAGAGAGACAGAGAGAAAGGTCTTCCTTTGGTTGGCTCACTCCCCAAGTGACCACAACAGCTGGAGCGGCGCCGATCCGAAGCCAGGAGCCAGGTGCCTCCTCCTGGTTTCCCATGCGGAAAATCTCCTCCATGCAGAAAACCTGCTCCACGGTTTCCCATGGAGGCCATCCTCCACTGCCCTCCCAGGGCACAGCAGAGAGCTGGACTGGAAGAGGAGCAACTACAACTAGAACCAGCGCCCATACGGGATGCCAGCACCGCAGGTGGAGGATTAACCTCATGCGCCACAGCGCTGGCCCCTCTAGCTGTTTTTAATGGTTAGCAATTGGACAATGATATGTCTTGGCATGGCTTACTTTGCAATTTATCCTGCTTGGGATTTGCAGTATTTATGGAATCTGTCAATTGATCTTTTTCATCAGACTTGGAACC